TAGTGACCACTATCTTGTTTGTGTTTATATTACCCTTAGTTTCATATCCTCGTACATATATCTCATAATATATATCATTTTTAGGATATTGCCATTTGTTCATATTGCATATTCTTGCTCATAACATATTGTATATCTATCTTGCAAGAATAATATTTGAATTACTTTTAAATATGCATAAAATCAGATTAGATTAGCATAATACCCTAATTAACCCCCTTCTAGGGTCTAACAATTGGTATCAGAGCTTGGTGCTTTTTGATTTAAGGTCTAATCATCTTGAGTTAAAGATCCAAGTTATCTTTTGTGCTAATCGTTTTTTGATTTTATTTGTATCTTGCTTGCACATATATACATTATAGATATGCATGGTGCACCTAGTTTAGGTGATGCTATTAATGTTGCTCCTTGTTTGGATAATATTTTCTATGCTCAATGGTGTGTTAGATTCAAACTTTTTGTTCGATCTAGACATTTTGATTTATGAGAAATTATAGATTGTACTTATATTGTACCCACTTTGGAGAAATCCAAGTGGAGTAAAGATGATCATAAAATGTTTACCATGAACAAGCTTTTGTTAGAATTTTTACATAATGCGTTTGATTCATCTTTTTCAAATAAGCTTGATTCTTTTTATAGTGCTTACACATTATGGAAACTTATAGAAGCACATTAAGAAAAATTGGAGGTGATCCGATAAGCTTTGGAGGATTCCGCTTCTAGTTCATGTGGAGCTTCATTTTCATGCACACGACTACTAGACGATAGCCCTAGTGAGGTTTGCGAGTTCGAATCCATTAATGATTTATCTAGTGATGAACTTGCTTATGCTTCTGAAAAATTATTGCATGCCTACAACAAATTGCATCATATCTTTTTAGATTTAAAAAGCAAGCATGTTGCATTAAAATCCGATCATGAGTTATTAGCTTCTAAGTTTGATACTATTTCAAATGAAAATGTGATCCTCAAAAAAAATAATGAGAATTTAAAATTGGATCATGTTTCCTTAATTTCAAATGTTGCTAAGATAACTCATGAAAGAGATAATACCATATTAGAAGTAGAGAACATAAAAATTGATACTGCTTCTTTTATAAATGACTATATATGTTTTACTTCTAATAAAAATGTATATGTGCCTAATAATGAAGATTTGAATCTTATGAATAAATGTATTTTATCTTTAGATTCAACTTTGAAAACATGCATTAATAATCATAAGAAGCTTATGGATATATGTGCCAAGTCTAAGTCAAAATTATTCACTCATTATGCACATATATATAGCAAAGTTTATAAGTGTTCTATTTGCGGCCGAAAAAGCCACATTGCTAAATTTTGCTATGATGCACACAAACCTAAGAATGCTAATACTCCTTGTGCATCTCATGTAGCTTCATTATCATGTACACATACACATTCACATGCTCATTCTCACAAAGTTTATCATAAGCATGCAAATATGTTTAAATATGATCTATGTGGTCGTTTTGGCCGTTTGGCAAAATTTTGCTTTGATTTGAAAAGGACTTTACCTTTGCCAAATGATTTTATTAAGCCACAAAGGTTTAAATGTGATGTTTGTGGTCGTTTTGATCATTTGACCAAATTTTATTTTGATTTGAAGAGAGTTTCTCATTTGCAAAACAATTTAAAAGAAAATTCTTTATTTGCAAATAGTTCCCGTGCACGAGCTAATGGTCCACAACAACAAATGGATCTCTTTCATTACACATATTGCAATCGGAAGGGTCATTTGAGTGAATATTACTTTGACCATATTGGTGCACCACATATGCCCAAGAGGGTTCATAACCCTAAGGCTTTGAGCTTTATTGATATGGGTCATGTCCCTAAATAATCCGGTACCAAGAATGCTTGAGTGCCAAAATAATTTTAAAACCAAGAATTTTAGTGTTTTTTTTTATTTTTTTTATTTTGTAAAATGTGCTTTGAAAACTTTTAATATGAAAACAATTTTTCGTTGATCAATTCCTTTGTTTTCATGATTATTAGTTTTGCTTTTGATGAGAGGTTTGTGTTTATATAACCCTCCGGATTTATTTGGTGTTTATTCCCAAACCTTGTTTACCGGGTGCTAAAAATATTTATATGGGTTGAAACAAGCTCAAGAGCTTGATATGGTTACCTCTCTCATTTGTGAAAATCAATGATGATTTGGTTTTATATCAAGAGCTTGATATGGTTACCTCTCTCATTTGTGAAAATCAATGATGATTTGGTTTTATACTTTTAAATATGATTTTTTTTATCCATAGTTCATGATTCTTGTACGTTTTGTAATCTTATTTTGAACTATAAAAATTTTGTTTTGATTTGTTCTTTTGAATTCATTATATAGCACAAATAGATTATTCAAATTTCAATTGTGCCTTATAATGCATTCTATATGTGGTTTGATCAAGTTCTACAAAGAAAGCTTTCTTTATTGATCAAACATTGTTTTTGGACTTAAATCTTGATTTATGATTTCATTTAAGTGATTTGTTTTTATTTAAAAACTATTTTTTCATGATCCTCATATTTACCGTTCTTTTGATTTCATAAATCTATTTTTATACATGATCTTTATGTTTATGTTTTGAGACACACTATTTCAATGATACATCCACATGTGTTCTCTTTATCTTGATACATGTGAGTAATTTTTAGCATGTTTTTATCTATGCTAACTCACATGTGTGCCTTAGCCCTCATTTCATACATTCATTAGGCATTTTGATAGGGGGCAATCCCTATACTTGTTTTATACTCACACATGCTTATAGGTAAGGAGAGCTTTCGCTCTCTTCATTCTTGTTGGTTTCTCCTTTTTGATGTTGTCAAAGGGGGAGAAATATTATGAGTATATTCTTTTTGTTTATATGCATGATAATTACAATATTGTATATTCATTTTCTTTCATGCATATATCCTTTTTGTAAATTATTTGTCATCATCAAAAAGGGGGAGATTGTTGGCCTCTTTGTTTTTATGATGTTTAACAAATAATTTACCACTAATGTTATTTGTCTAGTATTTGTGTTTTCTTATTTATTGTAGACAAATAATAAGTTGGAGGATGGATGAAATCAAGCATTCACGATCATATCCAATTGAGGTTGGCAGAATAGTAGAGTGAAGCTATGTAAATTCAAGTTAAAGATTCAAGTTCAAGCTTCATCCGCGAGTTTATCAAGTTAAGCATATTGAAGACCAATCTAGTTTGGGTAAATTAGTTTAGGATTTATACTTGTGTGTTAATACTTTAAGCTCAATATCACACATACACACAATTCTTGATTTTGAGTAATTTTGACAAAATATTAAGTTATTGGTTTTTGGACTTAACAACCATTATATAAATATTCTATTAAGTCTATAAAATCATTTTATAAGGTTTTAAAACATTGTTTAACTCAATAGTGAAAAATCAAGAAGTTTATGTACACATGTATTTACAAGTTTTGCAAAATACATGAGTTTTCAAAAATAAGAAAATTAATTTGAGAAATTCTTTTTCTAACATGTTTAATTTCATGTTTATAAATTTTTCCCAAAGTTTTATCAATTTTGGAATTAATTTGTTATGTTTAATTGAATTTACAAAATCAAGTTTTCAAAGTTTTATCAATTTTGGAATTAATTTGTTATGTTTAATTGAATTTACAAAATCAAGTTTTAAATAAGTTCATGTTCGTGCACATGTTCGTGCATGTTTTTGTAAAACAGACGAGTTATCATAATTGGGAAATGCAATTTGAAAAATTTCTTCGTTTACATGTTTATCTTCATATATACAAATATTTCCCCAAGTTTTACTAATTTTGGAGTTGTTTTGTTATTTTCAATTGAATTTACAAAAACAAGTTTTCAGCAGTTTTTCAAGATCTATATATCTGTGTTCAAACAATTATTTCTCACAAATGAGAAGTGATATTTTATAAATTCTTTCTCTAATATGTTCATATACATGTTTATAAACGTTTCTCAAAATTTTATGATTTTTTTAATTGATTTACTATTTTTAATTGTTTTTGTAAAACCAGACACGCAGAAAAACCAGATCTGCCAGACTGCTACAGTACCCACGGTCGACCGCTACAGTACCACGATCGACCGCGCAGGTTACCGTTGCATAATGGCTCTATTTTTCCTAGTTCTAATTTTTTGGGGATTTGCCTCGTTTTGGGGCTTTTCTTTGGCTTTGGGTTGTTGTCTTGAGTTCTTATAAATACCCATCATCCCTCAACACTTATATTTATCCAAGAAAAGTTTTTAAATAAGTTTAGGCTGCGTTTGGGAACTTTGATTTGGATTTGGGAAGTTGATTTAAAATCAAGGGATTTTAAATTTAGGATTTGAAATCCATGATTTAAGAAATCTTTTGTTTGGATATCTTTATTAAATGAAAGGATTTGAAATCTTTGATTTTAAAATCTAGTGTTTGGGTACTTTATTATACATGAATTTAAATTTAAAATTGATGAAAATTTATTCTCTTAACCCATCTTATTTATATCAAATGCAATGGAGATGTGTAAAATAGTAACCAAAAAACACAAATTTAGGTAATTTTGGCGATGATAGCTACATTTGCTAAGTTTTCAAATTCATTACCCACCATAACTTGCAAGAGTTTCAACAAAATGAAAATGAAGAAAACTCTACAAACATATCAAGTATCTTTCAATTTTTCCGTTAACGTACTTGGACATCACTTTGATATACTCTTCACTAGTATCTTTCACAAAGACATCCAATAAAAGAGCAAATGTACCAAACCACAAACCATCAGATGCCATCACAAAGACATCCAATAAAAGAGCAAATGTACCAAACCACAAACCATCAGATGCCAATATATTGGAGTGTACTATAAGCCATAATCATTCACCATAGAAGCAAACACCACAACAAGTGACAATGAGAAACAAAAAAGGTGAGACCAAAGCACAACCACCTTCAGTACAATATATCAGCTCACCAATGCAAACACCAAAAGTAAGAAACTTCACAGGAATCATTTGTCCTCATGAAACTTCACAGGAATCATTTGTCAACATACAAAAACAATTCCTTCTACTTCTGGCAATAAGCTCAGAGAACAGAGAAGGCCTAAATAACATCAAACCGAATCCAATATCCTTTTGTTTGACTTCAGCTAGAAATTAGTAAGTCCAAGGGTAAAACAGTCACAATTTTAACCCAAGGGTACATCTGCAACAGTGTACACTACAGGGGTTGCAATTTAAAAACGATACCACAGATAGTATATGCAATTAACCCTTACATATAAGCTACAATCATTCGACAAAGCAGCAAGCTATATCAAATGACAATGAGAACCGAAAAAGGTGAGACCAATGCACAAGCACTCTCAGCACAATATCACGCTTGACCTGCGAAAAAAACCCCCATAACATTGACATTAGAAAATCTTTCGAGTACTTCCTTGCCCTAAGCTCATCAATTAATGAACATAAGAAAACACTGAAAGGGCATATATCTAGCTATGACATTGTTTACATAACAAAACTTCATAACGATGTCAGCAATGTAAATATAACCAGCTGCTCTTTTCATAAATTAGCATGTATCATATGCTTCATCACCGTTTCTATCTTCATAATTAATAGCAGTTGGCACCACAGTGTCGACTAATGAATCTTGATAGATTCCAGATTCCATCAAAAATCTTGGTTTTCGACCAACATGAGAGGTTAATGGGTGAGTATTCTTTGAATTCTGGTTGTTTTGGCCATTAGAATAGATTAAACACAACCTTGGGCTTGCATCTTGAGCCCAGTGATGATATCCTTTGTGACTGACCCAAAGATCCATTCTCAATCCAGAAAATCAAGTAGATTTGTCAGGGGAAATCCAGTGCGATGAATTTCATCTATATAGATTTCCCAGTAGAGAAGTTAAACTATCTAGCTGTTTAAACTAGAAAGTTCATACATGTAATAATTCATCAATGGAGTTTGTTCTGGCAAGTCTCTAGCTAAAAATTCACACCAGACCCCTTTTTTTTAATCTTAGTACGTTCAGGAGAAACTTGGACAAGTATGGATATTGAACTCAATCAGCATGTTACATTAACAATAATTAACCCCCAAAAAATTTTAAGGGTAATATGTTTTTGAAAATAATTAAGAGAGATGCCAATATAGATCGCAATGGATCAGTGATAGGCCCAAACACAATGCAACGTATGCAATATAATAGAAGATGCAAGAAAGCTGATTCATGCAATTAATGAAGGTCCATTTATATCCTGAGAACTTTGCTAGAAAACTATGCCTATGATAATCTGCATATTAGCTTTTAGGACAATGTTCATGAGCATGAATAGAACAATATACCTCTTCATTTTCATCACGTACAATGAAAATATTTCACAGAGAAATAAAGGGAAAAGCAATCAACTATGACATGTAGACTCTCGTGTGTGTAATGCAGATAGACCCATTGTACTGTTGTTCAATTGCAAAAAGACTCCCTGCAGTTTTATTATTACAGATAGACTGCCTGACTAAAATTTTTGACTCTTCACTCTCACGAGGTCTACTTGCCAGAAAGACAACTTTTTATTTATGTGAGTAAAAGAGTTACACACAAAAAATCACCTACGAGTTCTATCCGCAATTGGGTGACAGCACTGAGGGGTCTATCCGCAACTAACCTATATAAATATTCAGGCACAAATAGTACCCCAATCTTTCTATTGAAGTCATTTAGTTGTCGAACCCCGAATACACCCTTATCTCATATGAATATTACCTTTTCTATTACATATTTAGTCTTGTGAAATTACTGTACAAAACAATAGTGTCAAGGGAAATGTGCGAGTTGAAATTATACTTGAAAAGAAATAGACTTGCACAAACCTAATGAAAGATATATTTTAGAAATGCATCATAATCAAGTATACACTAAATAAAAAGAACAGAATTCTCAATAAAATGAAAAATTTGTACATTTGAGATGAGACAAGCACTCCTTACTTGAATTAGCTAAGAATCCATCAAAATCACCAAACCCTAATGCATTCATAAGAAATCATCAAAAAATTAGAAATATTCGGTTAAAAATATTGTGAAGAATAACATTGAGATGAAGAAAAGTAGTCCGACCTGAAAACTAGAAACTACTCCTTAAGAATAAAGAGAATAAAATCTCTTTTTTCTTCATCAGGAAGTGACTTCAACAAATAAAACTTTTCCGGGTTGCTATCCATTATCTTCTCAAATGCATTGAACACTTGAATACGACTTAAGTTGGGTATTTTTGAGACCACTTGACGAATCTCCTCTCCGGTTGGTGGTTTTCTTACTACTTCCTTTTTTCTCTCATTAAAATACTCACTCACAGAAGCTGTCATCACTGCAAGTGAATCAACCATTTTATCCCCCTTCTTTTGTTTCTTTGAGCTTATCTCACCACTAGTTGATGCTCTAGGAAGATGTTTCCTTGAAGAGCTTCCACCTTCATTTGTTTCGGATTGTGCCTCAGATTCCTCATGTTGCATTGCATTAGCAGCCTCTTCAAAGGTTTCTGCACCTTCACCATTGGCTCTATCTTTTGCACATAACACCATAATGTCATCCCAATTTTCAATCAAACGATTCTGGTAGCCTTTTGCATCTGGATTAGCCTACAATATAAGAACATTCACAAATATTTTTAGATATATGCAACAAACTAATAATTCAAATTAATAAGTATAAAGTGCGATATTACCGAAACATAGTCGCTCAATACTTTTTGCTCACTAGCGGGTATAATCACCATTTTCTTCTCATCATCCCACCACGTCAAACCACTTTTATTTTTAATGTCATAGATAACATTATAATGTGTTTTCCAAATTTTGAGTCGATTCTTCACGTTATCTTTGTTCAAGTTGCTATTAAATGATTTTAGTGCATCAACCGCAACTTGATACACTTGAGGCTTCCAAGTACCATCGACTTTTAATCCTTGGTTCATTTGATCGTACAACACATTGGCTAAAACTGAGTCCATATTACGATTCCACACAACATATGATCTCGACTGAGATGCAATTTGTTTCTCTTTCTTTGTCATCCTAATACATACCAAAGTGAATGACACAGAATTAGTAATAAAGCACAAAGGTTGATTAATAATGAACCTTCGACATTGTAGAATGAAGGCACGAGAAAAAGGTGATGGCTACAAGTGTAAATAGCTACTGCAAAGTCTACAAGTAATGAACAAAACAATGTTACTCCAATATTCAAAGATCATAAAACTTATCAAAGACATAAAATTATTCATAACTGCTGACCAAATTTAGCATCAAATCTTATGGATGCTAGCCCCCTCTCAAAGTCGGTATTCATCCCACATTTGCATAGCTAAATCATCTCTAAAGTAACTCCATTCATTTGTAACTCTCACAGTGGTGATACGCTCCTCATCTACATTCTCAATTTCTAAAATAGGATCATCTTCTAATTCTCGATCCACATCATTCAACAAGTCGTCTTCATTCATCTCTTCACGTAAAAAATTGTGAAGAATATAACATGCATTAATGATCCTAATTTGAGTCTTAACATTATAAAAGCTAGCAGTCTGTAATATAGCCCATCACTTTTTTAGCAATCCGAATGCCCTCTCAATTGTGTTTCTAGCAGAGGAATGACGTTGGTTAAATAACTCCTTGTAGTTTCTTGGACCATTTTCTCTCCAAGACTTTATATGATAGTGAGTCCCTCTATAAGGTACCAAAAACCCCAGCCCATTTGTATACTCAGCATCCACAAGAAAGTATTTATCTACAAAATCAAAATCTTTAGTCATAACAATGTCAAAACTAGGAAGCAATACATATATAATAACTAAAAAAATTATATTCCTACTTGAGGGAAGTTTCAAGCTATTGGGTCGACGTAAAGCATCACGCAAAACATGAGAATCTGATGTTGAACCCTCCCAACCAGGTAGCACATATGAAAATCTCAAATTGGCATCACAAACACCTAGTATATTTGTACTGGTCTCTCCTTTTCTATTTCGATATCTACTTTGATCTTCCAAGGGAATAGTTAATTGGATATGAGTCCCATCAAGTGCCCCGATAGCATCCTAAAATTATGCAACCTTACAATTAGTTCTATTAAACAAAATTATTAAACATGAAAACCTTAATAAAAGAAGCCATAGTTACCTCAAACCATTTCCACTTCTCCATGTCTCTCTCATTAGGATTTGTATATTCTTGTCTAATATAGAAGCTTCCTATCTTCATGACTGCTTGAAGTACTTTGTGGAACTGCTGACTAATTGTTTCATTTGAACGATAAAAATCTATTTTGCTTGTCCTATTTTTTACATTATGAGCTAAAATATGCGAAAACATAGCGACAATTTATTCAATCGTGACATTTCTTGATGCTACTAATCCCCCTCTAGTACATAGAACATCACATAACCTCTTAAACACTTGAGGATTCATCCTTAGTTGTTCAACATAATTATTTGCATTGCAAACAAGAGTTCGAAACCAAGACTTTCTAACGTATGTCCTTTCATCCTCTTCTTCGTTTGTTCTTGAACTCTCCTTCAACATGTGCTTTGTATAGTACCAAACACCAATGGTAGCAACTATAAAACTGACCGCTACCATAATAATTTCCTCATCCTCTCTCCTCTCAAATTCTTCCCTTGTACGTTTATGTTGGATCATTGAATCCCTTTCATCATTTATCATTTTTAACCTATCACATTAAAAGTTGAACATGCAAGCAGATTACACATATATCCTGAATATATATTTAGCAGGATGCAAATTTAATGAAGTCCTAAGAAAAAACAACTCAAGACAGAGAAATAACACCCTACTTTGAAATAACATCTATAAGATTGCATGATAATAAAAAATGGCATATGTTAGAAGCAAAACCTTTCTTATGCTAGAAGGCAAATTGATGTGAATCTATCTACATTTTTTAATTTTCCCAAGTTTCAGCAATAACAGAAAATGCTTTTGGATTTAGTATGTTCATGGTATTTGAATGATGTACCTAGGTACAATTTTAATTGCAACATGCCTCTGACAATGTTAAACCAAAACATGGACCATATTACTGAGATAGAGAATACGGAAACATTGCTATTATGCTTGGTCTGATGAAGTTTTGCATGTTAAACATATGTCTATAGTTCATTTCCATGTTAAACTTTTGCAATCCTAGTTTATTCCTCCAATTTTTATATGCAGCAGGTGTTCACATCCATAACTATACGCAGATTCTTCTTTCTTAATTAACAGATATGCAGGATTGATGAAGTCAAACAATGTCAAACATTGTCTCAGAAACATCTCATGTATACAACTGGTTTAAAAATATTTCATATATGCAACATATAATTTAGGGTAACCACAAAAGCCCCTTACTTTTGGGGATTTTGCAGATAGATCCTTTAATATTTCAATTGAACAAAAAATCCCTTAAATTTAAGGGGTTTTGCATAGGCCTCTCTTTCAACTTCTTTTATTCCACTTAATCCCCCAGCATAACAGCTTCAAGTCTAACGTGTGACGTAATTTGGTAATTAATTAGCCATTTTTTTTATCATAAGTTGATTATATATTTAAGTAATAGATAATAGATTAGGTGTTGACTAGTTAGACTTTCTTACACTAGAGAAAAATTAACAAGAAAATAGCTCGCTTGACATTTTCAGCCCAATAAATAAGATATAGATTAAACAATGGTCACTTGGAAAACATTATCAACAATATATAGCTTTCGGATGTCAATATTATTTCCAACTAAAGCATGAAATAAACTGACAATCTTTAGATTGCTTTATTATTTTATTTTATTTTTTGAACTGGCAACTAAAATTTTATTATGCTAAGAAGCAATACAATGGATTAAAGAGTCAATATGCATATGCTAAGAAGCAATACAATGGATTAATGAACATATAAGCAAATATCACCTACGACATGTGAAGTAGAAAAACATCCCCACATTTAGATTGATGCTCACCTTTAAAAGCTAAAACCAACCAAATATTACACTGATGTTGAAGAAGAAAAGGGTTTTGGGGCTAAATAGCTGCAACAATTCAATCAAACAAAGTTATTATTAACACTATATAAACCCTAGATCAGATCTAGGGTTTCAACTGTAGGGGGGGGGAGGCGGAGAGGGGGAGATCGAAACCAGAGAGAGAGAGAGAGAGGATCGCGAGAAATTCCTCTTTGTTAAATGATCGGGTCGGGATTTGATAAATGACAAAGGGTGGGGTAGAATTTGAAAACAGTTGTTTTGGGCTTTCAAATTCCTCTTTGTTAAATCAATTGATTTAAAATCTAGGCTCAAATCAGAACCCAAACTAGATATTTGGATTTGAAATACCCTGGATTTTAAATCCAGGACCAAATCCAAGTTCCCAAACACACCCTTAAGGGTTTTGAAGTTTGTTTAAAAGAGTTTGTTTACAAGAGTTTGTTGTGAAGAAAGTTTCACAAGGGCTTGAGGAAGATCACCAAAAGTGTTTGAGCATCCAACTCTTCTCCCTCTCTCTCTCTTGATCCATAGAGAAGTTTTTCTTAAACTCAATTCTAGCATTTTATATATTTTGATCTTATTTCATAAGCTAGGTTTCATATTGAGTATTAATTGTTTCTATTGTATCTCTTTGTTCACACACAACCATTGAGCTTATTGTATTTATATTTATAGTATATTTGGGTTATGGGATTGTAACATTGAGCATGAGCTTAATTGAGTTCTCATCTATTGTAGAGAAAATTTTATTTGTATTGTGAGCCTAATTGTGTAGATCACTTTGTAATACACTTGTACACCGAGAGGAGTGTGTGGTGAGAGACAGGGTCGTCCCAAGAGGAGTGAGGTAGGTGGTAATGCCTAGAGGTAGGTTATAACTTCTAGCACTCGAGGGAGACACGGGCTAGAGGCCAACACTTAGAGGGTGTAAAGTATGATTATAAGAGTGAGATTGTAGAGTTTTCGATTAGCTAGAAAACCGTATTGTGAGGTGTAAACATTTTTCGGGTAAGCGTAGAAAACCTGGTGTGATAGTGGATTTCTCCCTAGGAGTGGGGAGCGGAGACGTAGGATGGAAGGTCTGAACTCCATGATCATCTGTGTGTGTTTGTGATTGCCTTGGCGTCTCACTTGTGCTTATTGTTCATTTCATTCTTGTCGCCATTATCTATTGCTCATAGTGGCCACTATCTTGTTTGTGTTTATATTACCCTTAGTTTCATATCCTCGTACATATATCTCATAATATATATCATTTTTAGGATATTGTCATTTGTTCATATTGCATATTCTTGCTCATAACATATTGTATATCTATCTTACAAGAATAATATTTGAATTAGTTTTAAATAGGTATAAAATCGGATTAGATTAGCATAAGACCCTAATCAACCCCTCCTCTAGGGTCTAACAAAAGCAACAATCGCAATTTTTAATTAAAAAAATGCAGAAATTTATTCACAGTTATTGGGCAGATTAACTATTTTGTTGATTTTTAGTTAGGGAGAACTTGTATCAAAGTATCAGTGCTTCCTCCAGGAGCTACTTCAGACACAGAGTTTGTAGAAGGGGACCTGATGATATAAGGATGGATTTCGACTTGCAATCAAAGCATTGATTTTGAGAACAAGTGTAAATGCATTTCAACTTTGATTTTCACAAAGTGAGTAAATACATAGTCCTCATCTATAGTCAGCAAGCACATATTCTACATTGTGTAATATAATAAGAGAATTAGGATGCATTGCTAAACATCAAGAGAAATTATATCAAGGCGCGCAATATTATTTAACAAGCGCTCTGAAGTATGAAAAGAAGTAAGATAGAAGAAAATGACTTAATCAGAATAAACAGAAAGGAGATGCAGATTTCTAGGCAATTTTTCCATAAAAATTTTGGGACAAGTACATCATATGGAGAGTATATGCAGATGGACATTGTATCAACTAACACACAACTAAGAATTTGGAAATGGTCGGCAACTCGCAGAGTTGAAGTAGTTGTCTTTGGCGCGTTCTTATTTTCAATTTGTTATAGACAACCGATTTTGCAGGAGAATCCTGCAAGGAATTTTTAAATACAGCAGTTAAACATAAATAACAAATAACAAAACACAATGCAAATGATCAGAGC